TCTGGACACTCGTATATGCATGCTATTACAGGATCTCTGCCTCCTTTTCTTCTTTCAATAGGCTTAGTCACAGAAAACACGAAGTATGTGCCTTTCTGTCTGCACTCTCACGCGCTGGCTGACCACTAACAACCAAAAGGGAGATATACGTGCCCATCGTACTTGTGTAGCACCTGCGAAATATCAAATAAGACAGCAAAGAACTAGTCTGAGCTAAAAAAACATGAATGGACGCAAACACTGGCATCCACAAAACATCGATAGAAGGGAGAAATCAGAATTGTCGTTCGGAAGGCGCCAAGTGTCGCCAAGTACGCGCGTACTGACGCTCTTCACTCACTCCCCACAGCCCGCACCGTCCGCACCGGCGCAAAATATGAAAGCAGCTTTTCTGCTGCCGAAGCGCCAATTACCGCGTGGAGCAAGTATTCACCACCCCACTAACCAGGCACTCTTCTACGAAAACTCGGATTATCGTGACAATTGCTTTCCAACTGAACATATTCATTTATTAGTAGATTTTAGGAGGTCAATTTAGTCATATTTAAACGTTGGCTACAGTGTGTTTTCCGCAAGTTTGTTTTATTGTATGTCAACTTGAACGCTAGGTCTACCGCTGATCATCAGTGGGCCCGAGGTTCCCGCTGCGAATCATGGCTCCCCCACTTTCTTCACGATTTGGGGCGCGGCCGCGGCGAGCGCGGACGAGTCGATAGTGCCCGCGAACTGTGGTGGTGAAGCGTTTTCAAATTTACCCGCACAGTTCGCGGGCACTATCGACTCGGCCGCGCCCCAAATCGTGAAGAAAGTGGGGAGCCGCGCATCATTAGTGGACCCGAGATCTCCGCAGCGAACACTGTTAGAGAGCCCTTTGCAGTATGATGATCGGGCACTGTGATTTCTGTGATCTGTCAGGTGATTAGCGCGAAATCTGGCACGGATCGTGGACACCAGCCTAATGGAGCGTTCATAGTTGGCGATCGTAGGTGCGATTAGGCGATTAGGCGAGTAGGCGATAAGAGAAGGATACGTATTGATTTGTTGCTCCGCCCATTGAGCGATCGCCTAATCGCCTACTCGCCTACAACGTTCTATGGGCGGAGCAAACCAATCAATACGTATGTGGTCTTCCCCTCCACGACTAATCGCCCAATCGCCTAATTGCACGTACGATCGCCAAGTCTGAACACCTTAGAAGGCTAGTCCCGTTCTCAACAAACAGGAGAGTTTTGTGCGGTTTTAAATGCATCGCCTCCAAATCGCTCCTATAACTTGCGATAGCGCCGAATTTATTTGTTTATTTCTTCTCATTCTTATGAAGACTGCTAGGAAACATTCGAGGAACGATAAGATGCAGCCATCTGTTGTATTCCCTCTTCCATTCTAACAAAACCACTTGAATAAGGTGGTTGTATCGTTGTATTTTACTGTGTTTGATACAAGTAAACCTGACGAGCCCATTATTTGTTTGATTCGGTTTCTTTAGATATGAATTTCGGTGACACGCTCTCGGGTGCGGAATATTTGGCATCTATTTATGGTACTGAAAAGGATAAAGTCAATTGTTCGTTCTTTTTCAAGGTAACCTTTAAGTGCTTCGTTCATCATCATTTTCAGAACCTTTCATTCAGGATCGTTCAGGATTCATAAGGCGAATTCACACAGATAATCTCCATATCCGTACAATTTTTCAGACTGGAGCTTGCCGACACGGTGACAAGTGCTCGCGAGCCCACCACACTCCAACATTCTCGCCTACGATCTTGCTTAAGAACTTTTATCATAATCCCGTCGTTGACGTGCGACAGGCGGATGCATTCGATAGTGAGTAGGCAAGTTTGAGTATGAAGCCGCGATAACTTGGCACTGAATAGTCTTCTTCAAAATATAGTGGGCAACGGAACCCTATTTTTGCAGAGGTTGGTAGAAAAAATGAGGAAGAGCAGCGATATTTCGATGACTTCTACGAAGAAGTCTTCACGGAACTGGAGAGGAAGGTTGGTGACGATATATCTACTTACTTCTATAGTGAGACCGGCAATGTTGGTTAGTTGGGTCAAAGTGAGCCTGATTTGTTTTTCTGAATACCTGGACGTTGCTGGTATTCATGGTCTGATACGCTGGTGGTACAGATCTGTGAATCCAGTCGAGTCTCATAGACCATTAACACATTGACGGCAGCGCGGGACACATCTCGAATTTCACATGGAGGGGAGGGTTTAGCCTTACTAATGCCTCTATTTTTTTGTTCCGAAACTTATATGTATGCATTATCGGTGCGGAATATACTACCCTCTAGTTTTTTGTAGTACGGCGAGGTAGAAGAAATCAATGTGT